GCCCCTGGGGTACTGCACACTTGGGCTCTTTCTCTCTCTCTCCCTCTATTTCCTCTCTGGAGAGCCCTTATAGTAAAAATTAATAAATGAAGTAAATGTAGAGTTAGGGCCAAAATAACTATATGCATATTTTTTAATTGCCTGAGGGAATGTGTGCTTGCCAGAGAGACAGAGAAGGAGAAAGCACCCCTACAACAGGGTATGGTCATACCTCAGTCTCCTCTATTTCTCTATCCTGTTAGGATTTTGGATGTGCATAATATACACATCGAATGTCTTTTCATGAGCTGCTGGGGCTGGGATTCGAACTGTGGTTGGCTGTGTGGGATCTGGCTCCCTTAATCTCTAGGCTGTGGGACAAATCTCAGACATCTGTATTTTTACAAAATGCTACATTTAATGTACATTTTTAGTTGAGAACCAGTGTTCTAGAAGGTGCAAGATTCAAATTAGGAAAGAAGTAAAGTCGCAGTTGCATAAATATTTTATATAATTGAAATGATGACTGGCAGCATTGTGTAATTTTATTAGGCTGCATACCTTTAGAACTTACAGGAAAACAAGTATCTTTTTAAATTGCCCGAAGACACATGCACTCAACAGAGAGAGCGAGAGAGAGAAAGAGAGAGCGCAAGCAAACACCCCCTAATGTAGTGTGGTCATGCTGCAATAGTTTTTCCTCCATTTCTCCATCCAGTTAGGATTTTGGAATGATATATGCAAAACACCTGGAGTGTGTTTCAAGCCACTGAGGTTGATATATTCAAACCATGGTCAATCACATGGGATCTGGATCTCTATGCACAGTATTTAACCATTGTGCTATGGGGATGGGGCCCTAGAAGTATTTCTTTTTTCTCCTGTTTCTTAAAAAAAAAAAAAAAAAATTGCTGCAGGGTACATGTGCTTGCTTGAGAGAGACTGAGAAAAAGAGAGAATGAGAAAGCACTATGGGGATTGGTCATGCCTCAATCCCTTCTGCCCCTCCTTTTTGGAATTGGGGGCACATGCACGCATGTAGCAGGAGTGGTGGTTAAGGTACTGTTTGGGATTTGAACTGTGCAGTTGGACATGTGGAATTCAGCCACTTTAATCACTATGCCACTGTCTGGCCCTAGAAGTGCTTTAGGAGCGTTAGTCAGTGTTTCTCCTAAAGGTAAAAATATATTATAGGCCCAGCTGCAGTGGCGTAGGTGGTAGGACACTACTATAGGAATCATATCAAAAAGCCCAGGGTTTGGGTCCTGGGTTGACCTGAATATGCACCCACAATCCTAGCTGGATGGAAGGCTGGGGGGTGGCAGATGATGGCATGGTTAAGACCTAGTCAGGACCGTGTGTGTGTGTGCGTGTGTGTGTCTCTCTCTCTCTCACAGTCTCAATAAGTAAAACCCATAAAACAAGTTATGGGTAGTGAGGGAATTACAAGTTTTTAAGGACTTCTCTTTAAGTATACATTTTTGAAATACATTAACATTTTTCCTGTGCTCTTTGTTCTAGGGAAAGCTTAGTGTATCTCTACTCATTTGATGACTCTTACCCCAGAACTCTAGATTTTTGCCATAGGTGTGTGCTTGCTGGAGAGACGGAAAAACAGAGAGGGAAAATGAGAAACCCTTCTCAGGGGGGAGTGGCTACTCTGCATTCCCTTCTCCTTCATTCATTCCTTGGGATTTTGATCACACATGCATGTTTTTTCAGGCTGCCAGGTCTGGTACTCAAACCGCAGAGTCAGCCATGTGGGATCCAGTGCCTTAACTACCACACCACCTGCTGGCCCATGCCACAATTCTTTTAAAATTTACACACCAAGCATGCATAATTATTTATAGTATCCTTTCTCTTAAAACATGAGTTAATAAACCTTTGTATTTTTTGTGAGTAATTTTTAAGAGGTTTTATTTTTGGTAAATATATGGGCTGATCTTAAGGCAGATCAAGAGAGTTATTAGAGTAGAGCTGAATGTTTGGTGGATGCACAATCCATGGATGACAGAGTAACAGTATTTTATTATTAATTTAACTGAAATAACAATAAAGTACTTAAAAATAAACATAGAAATTAAGATGGTTATAAACAACTACCATTTTTTCATAAGTAGGGGACCTTTATTCCTTGGTTTTATTTTTCTTTAAATAATCGAAACCTTTATTAAGTAACATAATCTCAGTCATCTAAACTGACAAGGTACCCCCAGAGGGGATGGCTACACCACAATCCCTCCTCCTTCATTATCCTCTTGGGATTTTTGAGCAAACATGCACACATGCCCAGTGTATTTTTTAATCTAGGAATATTGTTTGTGTCTAGAAATTTGGTTTTCTAGTTTGTTGGCATAAAGTAACATAGAGTATTCTCTTTTAATCTTTTGTATTTCTACAATAACTGCTATAGTATTGCCTATTTAATTACTAATTTTATTTATGCAGTTTCTCTTTTTTTTCTTGGTTAGTCTATCTAATGGTTTATCAATTTTGTTTATCTTCTAAAGAACCATATTTTTAAAATTCCTTTATTCTCTATTTCATTTATTTCTGCTCTAATCTTTATTATTTCTTTTCTCCTAGTGCTATTGGGATTTTTGTTGTTGTTACTTTTCCAGTTTCTTTTTTTTTAAGACCCTATTTTTATTATTTATTTTTAAATTATAAAGTATGATTATTATTTTAAATTTGCCATAGGGCATGTGTGCTCACTAGAGAGAGGCAGTGAGAAAAAAAGAGCGAGAGCAAGCTTGCTGCCAGGACTGGGACTTGTGGTAGTCCAGCACCTTAGCCACCATATCACCTGCTGGCCCCCAACTTTCCAGTTTTTTGAGATACATAGTTAGGTTGTTTATTTACCATCTTCCTCTTTTTATTTTTTTGTCATTACTAATTGATATAAACTTCCATCTTAGGCATGCCATTGCTGTGTCACACAGATTATGGAATGTTGTGTCTTGGTTGTCATTTGTCTCAAGGAATTTTTAAATTTCAGTCTGATTTCTTCCATAGTTTTGAAGTTCAGGAGTAAATTGTTTCTATGTATTTGTGCTTTTTTTTTTTTTTTGAGAGATTTTCGCTATAGGGCGCGTGCGCTCGCCAGACAGAGACATAGAGACAGAAAGCAAGAAATCACCCCCCAGGGGGGATGGTCACGCTGCAGTCCCTTCTCCTCCATTCTCCTCTCGGGATCTTGGACACGTACGCACACGCATCGGCTTTGGTTTTTAGCCACCGGGTATCGGCTTGAGTTTTAAGCCACCGGGTCCGGGATGCGAACTGTGGTTGACTACGTGGGAGTCAAGTGACATAGCCATTACGCTAACTGCTGGTTCCCTGTATTTGTGCATTTTTGAAGTTCTCTTTGGTTTCAATTTTAATTCTCTTGTGGTCAGACAATAGGCTAGCTATAGTTTCTATACTTTTAAATTTGTAAAGGCTTGTTTTGTTTCCTACTTAATCAGTCTATGAATATGTTCTATGTGGGGCTACAAAAAATGTGTATTTATTAGTTGGCTGAAATGTTCTATAAATGTCAGGTCCATTTGATTTTATGGTATCACTTATCTCCTGTGTCTGTTTATTTTCTATCTCGATGACTTAGCCAGAGGAGACAGTGGGGTGTTTAAATCTCTAATAATTAGTATGTTGCTGTCCCTCTCTCTTCTTAGATCTAGAAGTCTTTTTTTTAAAAAAACATATTTTGGTGCTCCTGTGTTGGTTGCACAGGTATTTATAATTGCTATGGCTTCTTGGTGAATAAATCCCTTTAGTACTACAGTGTCGTTCTTTGTCCCTTTTTATAGTTTTTATCATAATATATATGTTGTCAGATATTGGTATTGTGACTCTGGTCTTTTTTTTTTTTTTTTTTGAGGTGTGTTTCTTGTAAGCAGCATATTGAAGGCTCCTTTTCATCAATTCATTCAGCCAATCTGTGTCTTTTAATTGGGGAATTTAATCCATTAATGTTCAGTGTTATCCCTGTCATTTTATTTTTTTAGTGATTTTCTTAAGTTGTTTTGTGTTTTCTTATTTATGTTTGTCTCTATTTCATTTTTGTGATGTAGTATTCCCTTAAGTATTTCTAGAAGAGCTCATCTAGTGTTGGTGAATTCTTTTTATTTGGAAATGGTCTACCCTGGGAATGGTTTTATTTCTTCTGCCCAATTGAAGGATAGTCTTGCTGGGTATAATATTCTTGGTGGAAATCTTATTCTTTCAGAGTTCTGAATTTGTCTTCCCATTCCTTCCTTGCCTGCATTATTTTGTCGAGATATCCAAGGTTGGTCTGATAGAGTATTTTTTAGAAACAACTTGACATTTTTCTCTTGCCATTTTTAGAATATTGTTTTTGACCTTTGACAATTGGGCTATGATGTGCCTTGGAGAGGATCTTCTTATGTTGCGTCTATTTGGTCTTCCTTTTATTTTCTGAATCTGGATATCAGTATGTCTCTAGATTTGGAAATTTTTCAGATAGGAAAGCATAGAAAATCTTTCATGAAATACTATCTCTCTGCCTTCAGGAATACCCATTTTGTGGATTTGGCCACTGATGGTATCTAAAATTTCCTCCTTTATGTTGTCTTCATTTTAATGGTTATCTTTTCATTCTTTTTGGTGGTTTGGACTAAATCAGATGCTTTCTAGTTAGAGTCTCAGATTCTTCTGCATGAGATAATCTGTTGATACTTTGGAGAGAGATTTTAATTTTTTGTATTATATTCATCTCTAGATGTTCCATTTGATTATTTTTTGGGACATTTATCTCTTTATAGAGTTCCTCCTTCATATCATAGAAGGATACAAGAGCCCTTATGTTTTTACTTGTGACCTTCTTCCATTCAAGAAATGGTTGAGTTTCTCTTATATACAAAGCCTGCCTCTGGGTGCTGGTAATATAGTAGTAGATGAGATATTGTAGTTTCTTATTCAAGCACTGGTTCCCCAACCCCTGTTCTTCCTTTTCCTAATGACATAGTTTGAATATTAATAGTTTCATTGTCTTATAGGTGATGAAAGAACTATGGTCTTTGTTGAAACTAAGAAAAAAGCAGATTTCATTGCGACTTTTCTTTGTCAAGAAAAAATATCAACTACAAGTATTCATGGGTGAGTAGATTAGATTAATAAGATTTCCTAGTAGAGGAATGATTTTTGTTTGGTGTTTAAGAAGCATCAGTGTGTATATCTGATACAATCCTAGGATTAAGATTCAGAATTTTCTCAAGCTCTGAACTATTATTTTCACTGCCATCCTCACCCACCATGAATAAGAGGCAATAACACCCAGGATGGCTAAACAGTTACTCATACTCATTCTTAGTTTTTGTAAGAACTGAGTGATGGGGAAGGGAAGGTTAAAGGTCTGCCTTAGATTCCTCATCATGAGGAGGGGACCTTCTTGAGAGATTTCATTTACAGATCTCTGATTCTTATAATCTCAGTTTTTCCTCAGCGAAATCTATTGGGTTGGCAGAAAAGTCATGACATATTTTTTCTATGCAAAAATGTATCATGACTTTTCAAACAACCCAATAATCTTTCTGAAGCCTGACCTTTTTTTTTTTTTAATTATTATTATTGGAGTGTTTAAAAATGTCATGTTTGGGACCAGCAGATGGTGTAATGATTACATCACTGGGCTCCCATGTAGTCAACCATGGTTCAAGTCTCAGAGCCAGTGGCTTGAAACATATGCCAGGCATGTGTATATGCATGCCCAACATCCTGAGAGAAGAATGGAGGAGAAGAAACTGCAGCATGGCCATACCCCCAGGGGGTGATTTCTCACTTTCTGTTTCTCTGTCTCTCCAAACAGTACACGTGCCCTGTAGCAAAAATATTTCTTTAAAAATTAAAAAAGTCATGTTTAACACAACTTTATTGGCACTTCATTAGTGGACTTAAGAGATTAATCATGGGGACCAGCAGTTAGCGTAATGGTTATATCACTGGACTCCCATGTAGTCGACCACGGTTCGAGTCCCATACCCGGTGGCTTAAACTCACGCCAGGTGTGTGTGCATGCGTGCCCAAGGTCCTGAGAGGAGAAGGGATTGCGGCATGGCCTTCCCCCCTGTGGGGTGATTTCTCGCTTTCTGTCTGTCTCTGTCTGTCTCGTGAGCACAGGCACCCTATAGCAAAAACCTCTCCAAAAAAAAAAAAAGATTAATCACTAAATGTGTAGAATTCTGAAATCATGTTTTTAAAAACTTTATATTTTCAGGGCCAGCAGGTGGCAGGGTGGTTAAGATACTGGACTCCCACATGGGTGACCATGGTTTGAGTCCTGGACCTGACAGCTTGCTTTCTCACTTTTTCTCTATATCTCTGTCACTCTTTCTTTGTGGTTACATGTGCCCTATAGCAGATTTTTTAAAAATAGTAAAATTAAGTAATTCTTTTAAAAATTAGCATTTTCTGAGCAAGCATTCTTATCAAGTACTTGTTTATTTTTTGTTAGGACTAGAAAGCATAGAGATTATTAGTAGGTGGATTTGACATTTGTCATACTTGAGTTTATATTCTGGCTACGTGTATTTGCTATTACCTTTCCTCATCTGTAGGTGGGGTAGTTGTTCCAACTTAAAATATTGTGAGGGTTAAATAAAATGGTGACTTGGAAGGAATTCACTTAGTACCTGGTAGGTATGAAGTGGGGATTAGTATTAAATGTTGTTCTGTCCTTGTTTAGAAAGATATTTGTATGTTGAACTTTAATGATTCTCTTAAGAGTGGTCCTAACACATGGTTATGTTTTTCTTTCAAGTGACCGGGAACAGAGGGAGCGAGAACAAGCTCTAGGGGATTTTCGCTGTGGCAAGTGTCCAGTTCTTGTTGCTACTTCAGTAGCTGCCAGAGGGCTGGATATTGAAAATGTTCAACATGTTATCAATTTCGACCTTCCTTCTACCATTGACGAATATGTTCATCGTATTGGGCGCACTGGTCGATGTGGGAATACCGGCAGAGCTATTTCCTTTTTTGATCCTGAATCAGACAGCCATTTAGCACAACCTCTAGTGAAAGTACTGTCCGATGTGAGTTTTAAATTTTAAAACTGAATGAATAGTGATTTTACTTTATTTTAAAAAATAGACATTTTATGCATATGTATAAAACAGTAAACTTCTTCAGTCTTCAAGGCTTTATGTTGTGTACGAAGTTAATTTTTTTTTAATTTTTAATTTAAATTTTTTTAAGGCTCAACAAGATGTTCCTGCATGGTTGGAAGAAATTGCCTTTAGTACATATGGTTCTGGCTTCAGTGGTACTACAAGAGGAAATGTTTTTGCATCAGTTGATACTAGAAAGGTTAGTTAAGGGAGAAAATTTAGAAATTGGCTTCTAATTACTCTTGATAAATGTTGTGCTTCATAATATGGAGTTACAATAATATCAGTAACTTACATTCCTATTGTTTTCATGCCTAGATGGTAGATACTTTACTTCTTTCATATATACTTTTGTTTTTAAAGATGAAGAATTAACTTTGAGATTTATGTCCAAACAGTCTCCATTCCCAAATGTGATAGCATTTTAAATTATAATTTGGGATTTAAAAAAGTCTTTCTATAAAATAATTTTGAAGTTTTTGTCATATTATTGAGGTGTAATAGTGGAGCTCTAGGACTGCAAGTCTTTTCTGATATGTCAGTTCTTATAGGCAGCATAACTTTTAATTAGTCTGTGTTGAGCAGACTAATTTTTAATTTCTTTTATACATTCAATCACATATGTCACTTAGCTTGCAAAGTGAATATTCCAAAATGTATACATTTCTCACCAATCCAGTTGGGAATACTATACACTTCATCCTCAACAGATAATAACCCATCTCTCTGTCCCACAAATGCCCCACCCCTCCATTTCTTTCCCCAATGTCCCTCTTCAGTCTCTTCTTCACTCACCCTCTTCCTACACTCTATCCAGTATTTATAACCATTTTCTATGTTTCTATATATCCTCTAGTCATTCAGTTTTGACCATAGAGTGCAGACAGTCAGTGTATTTTAAGTGGAGACATATAATACCTCTCCTTCATAACCTGACTTGCTTCACTCAGCAGTAAATCTTCCATATGCATCCATTTTCTGTCAAAAGCCAGGGTCTTATTGTTTTTTATGGCTGAGTAGTATTCAATAGAGTATACATACCACATTTTTTCAATCCATTCATCTATTTGTGAGCATTTGAGTTGGTTCCATATCTTAGCAATTGTAAATAATGCCTCAGTAAACATTGATGTGCAAGTGCTTTTCCAACTAAGGATTCTTCTGTCCTTTGGGTAGATACCAAGGAATGGGATTGCTGGATCATATGGTAGTTCTATTTGTGTATCTTTGAAAAATCTCCATATCGTTCTTCATGGTGTCTGGACCAATTTACATTACTACCAGCAGTGTAGGAGAGTTCCCCTTTCACCACACCTCTGCCAACACTTGTAATTTTTTTTTAATCTTAGTTGTTATGACTTGGGTAGGTGGTATCTCATTTTGGTTTTGATCTGCATCTTCCTTATAATGAGGGATGTTGAGCATTTTTTCATATGCCTTTTGGTTATTCATATACCTTACTTAGAGAGTGTTTTTTTTTTTTCAACACTTTCTCCCATCTTTTAATAGGGTTGATCATCTTTTTTTTTTTGGCAGCTGCTTGAGTTCCCTGTGTATTCTGGTTATCAGTCCCTTATCTGACGCAGTTTACAAAAATATTTTCCCATTCTGAGGGCTGTCAATTCACACTGATTATTGTGTTGTTGGCAGTACAGAAACTTCTTAATCTGATATAATCCCATTTGTCTATTTTTGGGATTATTGACTATGTTTTTGGTGTCTTATTTAAGAAGTCTTTGCCTACCCCAATGTTTCCCAGAGTTTCCCCAGTGTTTTCCACTAGTAATTTTTATAGTTTGAGGTCTTAGGTTTCGATCTTTGATCCATTTTGAGTTGATTTTTGTCAATAGTTAGAGGTAGGGATTTAGATTCATCTTTCTGCAGGTGGATATCCAGTTTTTCCAGCACCACTTGCTATAGAGGTTTTCCTTTTCCCCACTAGATTGACTGGTACCCTTTGTCCAAAATCAGTTTGCTGGGGCCAGCGGGTGGAGTGGTGGTTGGAGGCTCTGGATTCCCACATGGCCGACCACAGTTCAAGTCCTGGACCTAGTGGCTTGCTTTCTCCCTTTCCCTTTCTTTCCTCTCTCTCTGATCAAATTAAAAAATAACAACAACAACAAGTGGAATTAAATAAATGAATAAACCTTTTTAAAAAAATCAGTTTGTGGGTCCAGCAGTTAGCGTAATGGCTGTGTCACTGGACTCACACATGGTCGACCACGGTTCGAGTCCCAGACCCGGTGGCTTAAACTCACGCCGGGCGCATGTGCTTTTGTGCCCAAGATCCTGAGAGGAGAATGGAGGAGAAGGGATTGCGGCGTGGCCATCCCCCAAGGGGTGATTTCTCGCTATCTGTCTCTCTGTCTCTCTCTGTCTGGTGAGCACACGCACCCTATAAGAAAAACCTCTCCAAAAAAAAAATCATTTTGCTATATATGTTGGGTAGTTTATTTCTGGGATCTCTATTCTGTTCCATTGGTCCACCTGTCTGTTTCTGTGCCAATACCATGCTGTTTTGATTATCACAGCTTTGTAGTATATTTTTGGATCAGAGAGTGAGATGATGCCCACTGCACCCTTCTTGTGCAGGATTGCTTTGGCAATACAAAGTCTTTTATGATTCCAGACAGATTGTAGCATTGTCTTTTCTAGATCTATGAAGAATGTCCCTGGCACTTTAATGGGGATTGCGTTAAATATGTAGATTAATTTGGGTAGAATTGCCATTTTGGTTATGTTAATTCTTCTAATCCAGGAACATGGGATGTCCTTCCACTTTTTTGTGTCATTTTAAATTTCTTTTTTTTAGCTTCTCATAAGTTTTCCTTGTGGAGGTCTTTAACTTCTTTGGTTAGATTTATGTGTAGGTATCTTGTACTCTTTGTGGTTATGGTAAATGGAATTACTTTTGTCAGTTCTAGCTCAGTCTGCCTGCTGTTCATAAATAGAAATGCTATAGATTTCTGTACGTTGATTTTGTATCCTGCAACTTTACTGTATTCATTTATTACTTCCATTTTTTTCATGGATACCATTGGGTCTGCTATGTACACAATGATCTCATCTACAAATAGAGATAGTTTACCTCTCCTTTTCCTATGTGAATGCCTTTTATTTTACTCTCTTTTCTGATTGTGTTAGCGAGGACTTCTAGTACTATATTGAAGAGGAGTGGAGAAAGTGGGCGTCCTTGTCTTGTACCAGTTTTTAGCAGAAAGGCTTTCAGCTTTTCCCCATTCAGGATGATGTTAGCTATGGGTTTTTCATAGATAGCTTTTATTGTGTTGAGAAATGACCTGTCTATGCCAATTTTGCTGAGAGTCTTGATCATTAATGGATGTTGTATCTTATCAAATGCTTTTTCTGCATCAATTAATATGAGTATATGGTTTTTCTCTCTTTTTGTTAATATGGTGTATTACATTTATGGTTTTACATACATTGAACTAACTTTGCATTCCTGGAATAAAGCCTATCTGATCGTGATATATAATCTTTTTTATATGTTGTTGGATATGATTTGCTAGTATCTTACTGAGAATTTTTGCATCTGTATTCACCAGAGATACTGGTCTGTAGTTTTTCTTCCTTGTCCTGTCCTTGTCTGTTTTAAGGATAAGGGTGATGGAGGCTTCATAGAATGAATTTGGAAAAGTTCCGCCCTTTTGGATCTTTAGAAATAACTTGAGCAGAATGGGGTTAACTATTCTTTTAAAGTTTTGTAGAATTCAGAGGTGAAGTCATCAGGACCAGGGCTTTTCTTTGGTGGGAGGTTATTTATTACTGATTCAATCTCCTGGATTGTTATAGGCCTATTCAGACTTTCTACATCCTCCTGACTCAATCTTGGTAGATTATATGTCTACAGGAATTTTTCTATCTCATCTAGATTTTCTTGTTTGTTAGTGTGTAATTGTTCATAGTATCCTCTAATGAAGTCTTATAGATCGGGTTGTTGTATTGCCTACTTCATTGCAAATTTGTTTTACCTGACTCCTTTCTCTCTTCTTAATTAATCTAGCTAGTGGCATATCTATTTTGTTTATCTTTTTTTTTTTCCTTTTTTTTTGGAGAGGTTTTTGCTATAGGGCATGTGCGCTCACCAGACAAACAGAGAGAGACAGAAAGCGAGAAATCACCCCCCAGAGGGGATGGCCATGCTGTAGTCCCTTCTCCTCTGTTCTCCTCTCAGGATCTTTGGGACGCATGCACGCACACGCGCGTGGCATGAGTTTTAAGCCACCGGGTCCAGGATGCAAACTGTGGTCAACTACATGGGAGTCCAGCGACATAGCTATTACGCTAACTGCTGGTCCCATATTTTGTTTATCTTTTTAAAGAACCAGTTTTTACTTTCATTTATTTTCTGTATACTTCATTTATTTTCTATTTCATTTATCTCTGCTCAGGTCTTTATTATTTCTTTTCTCCTGAAGTCTTTTTTTTTGGGGGGGGGGATTTTTTTGCTATTGCTTTTCCAGTTCTTTGAGGCATGATGTTAGGTGGTCTGTTTGCCTTCTTTCCATCTTCTTATGAGCACTAATTGCTATGAAATTCCCTCTTATGACTCCTTTTGCAGTGTCCCAAAGATTATGGAAACTCATGTCCTCACTGTCATTAGTTTCCATGAATCTTTTGATTTCAGTCTTAATTTCTTCAGTAGTTGTGAAGTCATTCAGGAGTAAGTTATTTAGTGTCCATTTATTTGTGTATTTTGGAGGACTTTTCTTGAAATTAATATGAAGTTTAATTCCATCATGGTCAGAGATGCTGGATATAGTTTTTATGCCTTTGACTCTGTAAAGGCTTGCTTTATGCCCTATAATGTGGACAATCTTTAAAAAGGTTCCATGTAGGGGTGAGAAAAATGTATATCTTGTGGTTTTGGGGTGAAAGTTCTATAGATGTGTGTAAAGTCCACTTGATTTATGGCATCATCTAGGTCCCTTATCTCTTTACTCATTTTTTGTCTAGATGATCTGTCTAGGGGAGATAGTGGGGTGTTGAGGTCTCCAACAATTAGTGTGTTGCAGTCTGTCTCTCCTTTTAGATCTAACAGTCTTGCCTTCATGTATTTGGATGCTCCTAAGTTAGGTGCATAGATATTTATAAGTGTTACAGCTTCTTGATGGATTAGCCCTTTTACTACTATATAGTGCTCTTCTTTGTCTCTTTAACCTTTTTTTTTTAAAGCCTATTTTGTCAGAAATTAGTATTGCAACTCCAGCTCTTTTTGGTTCCCATTTACCTTTTTCTAGCCCTTCATTTTAGTCTATGTATGTCTTTATTCATTAGATTTGTTTCTTGTAGGCAACAGATAGAGGGTTTCTGGGTTGTTTTTTTTTTGTGTGTGTGTGTGTGTTTGTTTGTTTGTTTATTTGTTTTTAATCCATTCAGCCAGTCTGTGTCTCTTGATTAGAGAATTTAATCTATTAATCAAGGTTATTATTGATATTTCCTTACTTGTCCCTACCTTTAAGTTGCCATTGTCTTGGTTTTCTTTTATTCCCTTATTTCTGGCTGTCATTATTTAGTTTTCCTGGAACAGGACTGTCTTCAGAGTTTCTTGAAGAGCTGGTCTGGTGTTGGCAAATTCTTTCAGGTTTTGTTTGTCTGAAAATATTATAATATTTTTTCCCGTATGAAAGATAATCTTGCTGGATATAATAATCTTGGTTGATACTGTTTCTCTCCTGACACTTTCAATATGTCTTCAAGTTCTTTCCTTGCTTGCATTGTTTCCATTGAAAGATCTGGTGTTAGCCTAGTGGGCAGACCTTTGTAAGTCACTTGTCATTTCTCTCTTGCCAATTTTCGAATCTTGTCTTTATCTGTAGTTTTGGTCAGTCTGGCTGAGATGTGCCTTGGGGAGGGTCTTCTTGGGTTGATTCTATTTGGAGTCCTTTGTATTTCTTGGGTCTGGATGTTTGAGTGTTTCTCTAGGCTTGGAAAGTTTTCTTTCAGAATTTCATGGAATAGATTTTCCATGCCCTTATTAGTTTCTTCACTGGGATACCAATTATTTGGATGTTTGAATGTTTAATGGAATCTAGTAATTCTCATATATTATCCTCATTTTTTTTTGTTGTTATTTTCTCTATCTTTTTGGTGTTTTTTTCTATGTCAGAGGTTTTATCTTCTATGTTGGAGATTCGATCTTCATCATAGCCTAATTGGCTTTTAATACTTCTGATTACCTGTATTACAGACTTCATCTCTAATAGTTCCATCTGATTCTTCCTTACGGTATCTATTTCTTCTTTCAAATCGTGGAAGGACTTCCTCATCTCCTGGAGTTCATTGTCTCTTTTCTTTTCCAACTCATAGAGTTTTGGTATTATGAATGTTCTGAATTCTTTGTCTGACATTTTGGTAACTTCTGTTTTTCTCAAGAGATGGAGGGGAGTTATTGTATTATTTTGATGGAGACATATTTCCTGGTTTCTTTAAACCTGAGGCTCTTCTACTTCTAGCCATTGGGTGATGTATTCACTTTTGGATACCTTTTTGGAAAATGTTTCTGGGACAGGGAACAAGTTTACTTCGCTTTTGTTATGGATTGATGTGTGCCTAACTGTCTTTTCTGCTGTGTTTAGCAACATGGTCCACACAGGGAGAGTCTTCTATTCAGGTGTCTGAAGAGCAGTTTCTTCTTTTTTCATAGCTGGATCAATAAGGGGCCTCAGGGGTCCTCACAATACAAGGATATTTGAAAACTATAATTCTAGACCTGTCTAGTCCCTCTGGATGGGTGGAGGATGAGGAGAAGATGACAGCATAAGAGGGAAGAAAAACGGTTATGAAATAAAGAAAGAAAATGTCATGCACAGTGTGCTAGCATAGTGCAGGATTTCACCAGGGGCCTGCAGGTGGACCTGGGCTCTCTGATGGGTGGGTGGGGGAGTGGGGCAGTTGGTGGGTGTGTGCTCTGAGGTTGGAGAACTAGGCTGGCGCCGGAGGAGCTGGAGCTGGGGCCAGTGAAAGGCTCTGCCTCAATTTTGCTGACTGTCCAGGAGGCTGCAGATGGAACTGGGCCAGACTAATTAAATATTGTATGTACTCACTGAAGTATATGACATGTTAAATTTTTCCACTTGCTAAAACTATTGGCTTAAAAATCTTTTCCTTGAAATATTTTGTACCCTTTAGACGTCTCAGTTTGATGTAGGCTCTGTTCAAGTGAATCAAATTTAGTGAGAATTCAAGTCCTTATCTATCTGGGGAAGACCTGGTGGAAAGCTTGAGTACCTCCTCTCAGTCTGGGTAATGTAACTTTAAAACTGTCATAAAATTAAATCTTTTTTACTCTTTTTTAAAAGAATTACCAGGGCAAGAGCACTTTGAACACAGCAGGATTTTCTTCTCCACAAGCTCCCAATCCAGTAGATGACGAATCATGGGATTAAAGCTGAAACATCCTTCAAGTCATGGTACAGTTTTCATGCACAGAAGAAAATAGTTTGGATTTTTGAGTTTTTAACACAAGTGTGAAACCTGACATTTTCACATCTCCTGTCCTTCCGTTCTTACTCTTGCCCTTTAGAAAAAAAAAAAAAGAAAAGAAAAAAAAAAGCCTCACTGACTAGTTATGTGAAATGGTACAAGTTGCAACATGGCAGATACTGATACAAATGGTGTTAACTGGAAATATTAAAGCATTCTAAATATCTTGCTTATTTCTAATGTATTCTTTAGAGGATTTAAGAAATGTTTCATTATTGATCCCACAATACAAGCATTAAGATATTATACACTTTTGTTTAGAAATTATTGAGTCTCATTTTGACTTGAACCTTTAAAGCAGCAGTGTGTCACTTCATGTAATAACATGATTTTCATGAAAAACAAAAAGCAAAAAACAGTGGAAGATTGAAGCCCTGCAAGGTAATTTTGTTTTCAGGTCATCAGATTTGTGTGGAAATTATTACATATTTGCACCGTGAACTCTGTACTCAATGGCATAACAAATTTTTTTTTTTAATAATATACAGTCTTTGTGGAAAATAAAGAATGAAACATGTTTTCCTTCAAGTTTTCCAACAGCACTTTTAATTTTTCTTTGTTATATGTCATTGTTTTCAACTCTAACATTTTGAAATTTTGTTTTATTGCATTTTTCTAACTTATGCAGTGAACAAAATCTTCCATAAATTAATTTACATTGACACTAATACAGAGATATGGTATGAAGAAAATCTATCTTAGAATTCAAGCGGCCAGACTAATTAAATATTGTATGTACTCACTGAAGTATATGACATGTTAAATTTTTCCACTTGCTAAAACTATTGGCTTAAAAATCTTTTCCTTGAAATATTTTGTACCCTTTAGACGTCTCAGTTTGATGTAGGCTCTGTTCAAGTGAATCAAATTTAGTGAGAATTCAAGTCCTTATCTATCTGGGGAAGACCTGGTGGAAAGCTTGAGTACCTCCTCTCAGTCTGGGTAATGTAACTTTAAAACTGTCATAAAATTAAATCTTTTTTACTCTTTTTTAAAAGAATTACCAGGGCAAGAGCACTTTGAACACAGCAGGATTTTCTTCTCCACAAGCTCCCAATCCAGTAGATGACGAATCATGGGATTAAAGCTGAAACATCCTTCAAGTCATGGTACAGTTTTCATGCACAGAAGAAAATAGTTTGGATTTTTGAGTTTTTAACACAAGTGTGAAACCTGACATTTTCACATCTCCTGTCCTTCCGTTCTTACTCTTGCCCTTTAGAAAAAAAAGAAAAGAAAAGAAAAAAAAAAGCCTCACTGACTAGTTATGTGAAATGGTACAAGTTGCAACATGGCAGATACTGATACAAATGGTGTTAACTGGAAATATTAAAGCATTCTAAATATCTTGCTTATTTCTAATGTATTCTTTAGAGGACTTAAGAAATGTTTCATTATTGATCCCACAATACAAGCATTAAGATATTATACACTTTTGTTTAGAAATTATTGAGTCTCATTTTGACTTGAACCTTTAAAGCAGCAGTGTGTCACTTCATGTAATAACATGATTTTCATGAAAAACAAAAAGCAAAAAACAGTGGAAGATTGAAGCCCTGCAAGGTAATTTTGTTTTCAGGTCATCAGATTTGTGTGGAAATTATTACATATTTGCATCGTGAACTCTGTACTCAATGGCATAACAAATTTTTTTTTTTAATAATATACAGTCTTTGTGGAAAATAAAGAATGAAACATGTTTTCCTTCAAGTTTTCCAACAGCACTTTTAATTTTTCTTTGTTATATGTCATTGTTTTCAACTCTAACATTTTGAAATTTTGTTTTATTGCATTTTTCTAACTTATGCAGTGAACAAAATCTTCCATAAATTAATTTACATTGACACTAATACAGAGATATGGTATGAAGAAAATCTATCTTAGAATTCAAGCTAATTTCTCAATAAATGGGTTTTGATTGCTGATGTTCAATCAAAACCAAAACAGTGCTGTTCATTTCTGCTGTAATATTTTGTTTCATATTTTAAGATTGATAAGGGAGGGACCAGCAGTTAGCATAATGGCTATGTTGCTGGACTCCCATGTAGTCAACTGAGGTTCAAGTCCTGGACCCGGTGGTTTAAACTCACCGTTTGTGCATGTGTGCCCAAGATCCTGAGAGGAGAATGGAGGAGAAGGATTGCGTGGTGGCCATGCCCCCTGGGGGGTGATTCCTCGCTTCCTCTCTCTCTCTGCCTCTCTCTGTCTTTCTGGCGAGCGCACGCACCCTATAGCAAAAACCTCTCAAAAAAAAAAAAAAAGATTGATAAGGGAAAGAATCCTGTCATTTTCATTCACCATTCTACATCTTGGACTTACTATGTCTAGAATATAAGAAAGTACCTGACGTTAAATGAATGAATCCAAACACTAAGACATGAAACAAGTGAGGTGTAAATACTGGGGGGACAAAAATGATCACTTTTGAGTGTTGTTTGCCTTAGTAGTCCAAAGTGACATGTTCTTATTCTTTTCACGCTTCTTTGTGTGTGTGTGTGTGTGTGTGTGAAAGAGGGAGGGAGGGAAGGAGGAGGGAGGGAGGGAGAGGTGAAGGGACAGTATAACTGTATACGTTCCTGATACCATGATCCACCCACAGCTTCAGCCAACTCTGGATCACCTGCATGCATGTACTTGTCATACTTGAGAAGGTCTCTGGCTACCCAAGAACTTGAACTGTCCCTTGTGAATCAGTCTCGCAGATGGTGTGTTCTACTTCTGCACCACAGCCTGGCCCCCATTGTATAGTTATTTATTTGTGGGTATGTAGGAAGACCAATGGTGACTGTACAAAGAACATAACAGCTCAAAAGCTGCAGGAGTGAAAGACTCCCACCTAAGCTTAAAGTAGGATCACAGTGTGTAAGAGCAAAGCATCATGAGTGAAGGTTTGGGAATAATGATGAGGGCTTAGGTGCTGGTGGCCCAGATTTCACACAGGTGGATTACCTGCCTATTCTACTCTTCCCTGAGGACTTGGGGTGGAGTAGGAATATGTTTCTAATTTTGCAGGTTAAATGTTAATAACATTTTTGTTCAGGCAGCCGCATTGGTCAGAGGTTTACCCTCTTACGCTTCCCAGAGCTTCACACTTGAGGCTGTTTGGGTTGTTCTCTATTGGGTCCCTAATTTGGGAGAAGGCAGCTTTTCATTTAGTTTGATGTGGCCTTCATAGATTTGGAAATGTGTTCATAATGAGAAGTACCTATTAAGTATTTATTTGTTTGTTTGGTAAAGGGTGCCTGCGCTTTCTGGAGGGGGCAGAGAAAATGAGAAAGCACTTCTTGAGGGGGATGGCCAAGATACAGTCTATTCTCCATTCGCTCCTTGGGACCGTAGGCCGGCATGCAGAGGCACCCAGGGGTGTTTTTCAAGCCTCCAGGTGGAACTGTAACTGAGCAGTTGACTGTGTGGAACCCAGCTGCTTTAACCACTGCCAGTGACTGGCCCCCTATTTAGTCTTCACAAGTATCTTCCTGGGACTAGCGGATGGCGTAATCGTTATGTTGCTGGACTCCTACATGGTGGACTTTGGTTTAAGTTCCAGACCTAGCGGCTTGAAAGTCACGCTGGGCACCTGTGTGTGCTTGCCCAAAATCCCGAGAGGAGAATGGAGAAAGGATTGCAGCGTAGCCATCCCCACGGAGGGATGATTTCTTGCTTTCTGTCTCTGGCGAGCACACTCGCCCTATAACAAAAATCTCTCTTTAAAAAAATATCTTCCAAGGCTCTGTGAAAACCTGAACGATTTACCAGTAGCTGCTGTTGCTGTGCTTTCGAGTCCCCGCCTCCCGCCCCACACAGAGCACTTGACCATGAGGGGCCAGGAGAGAGCGGAGCCGGCCCGCTGGGAGGCTGTGAAGCAGCAGCCACTGAGGCTGAAGTCCAGGAAAGCGGCTTCCGCCCCGGAGTCCCGGTGGGCTTTCCGCTCTGCTGGGCGCCAGCCTCTCTGGGAGTGGAGTGGCGAGGCCCCGTGGGTTTTGTGGGACTAGGCGGAGCAGCCGCGAAGGAGTCGTGCCGCCCGCAGTTCCGGCCCCCCACATCCAGGTGAGTGGCGCTGAGGCTCTGCTATGTGGCTGGCTCCTACTTTACAATTTCAGCCCTAATCATTTTGAGTCAGGTGAATTATAGACTCAAGTTTTACATAAAACTTAAGGGGCTTTATGAACCTCTCTGAAACCCATGAGGAGACTCCCCAGAGTCCAGCGATTGCAGATTAAGAACCCCCTGCTCTAGACAGGATGATGCCAAGAGGAATTCCATCTCAGAAGATCTGGTGGTGGGCGGAGTGCGAGGTGGGATTGGAGACCGCAGAGTTAGTGTGTAGAAGAAACGCCAGCACAGGACACTGAAAATTGAGCAAACGAATGGAATTAGAGTGGCGATGCAGATAAATTTCTTATTTCTTACCTAAGTAATTGAATGTTTTGCTATAATTTCGGGGGTGATTAGGAGGTGATCAAAGTAGTACATCTAGAATTTAGTTTTCTGTTGGTGAATTCCTTGAGAAGGTTTTTTTTTTCTTTTTCTTTGTGTGTGTGTGTGTGTGTGTGTGTGTGTGTGTGTGTGTGTGTGTGTTTCTCGCGCGTGTCTTTGTTTTTTACTTGTTTAGTAT